TATAACATTTTTATTTTATCTTTCACAAAAACCTCATAATTTATTATTACAGTAATTATGATTGATGTTATTCACTTGATTGAAGACCTAAATTGATATAGGTGAAACTCCTTGTTTATACTTTGTATTATTATATTTTTCATAGTTAATACCTTTTCATAATTTTTAGTCTTAGTCAGTATTATTTATAATTTAAAACTCTTAAAAAATTTCAAATTACTAAAAATATAAGAATGTAAAAAAAGTTTTAATTTTTAATTTTTAAATTTTTTATGAGTTTTAAATTATAAAGAGTGTTAATGAAGAATAAACATTTTTAAAGATATTAATCACAAAAAAGTATAATACGTAAAATACAATAAAAAATTTGGCCATTAATATATATATAATCATTTAATGACATATTAATTATTAGTACGAGACTTTAAAAAAGATTATATATGCACGTATCAACTTCATATCATAATTACAAAAGGGCGCTAGGTAAAGGTTATCATAATCACAACCATGTTATGGTTGCGTGTAGCTGGAACGCTTGTCTTTGTCCCCCTAGAAGGTATTTCGAAATTCCAATACATTAAAACAAACAATGTATTCTTATATATTACTATTGTTTGTCATCATTGAAGGTAGTTGTTAGAACACTAGTAGATATACTTTTTAATTTAACGTATTTTAAAATACATTTATTAAAAATTATTATTTTATAATTTAAAATTAAAAGTAAAAAATTTAAAATTTAAAATTTTAATGATTAAACTAATAAATGTTAGTGAGGTGTGTTAAATTAAAAACTATACTAATAATTAATATCTTACTTGGTAGTATATTTTTTAATTTTGAAATTACACAATAAAAGGTGATTTTCTTTTATTATTTGATTTATCACATTCACATATTATGCAATTTAAATTTAAAATCTCTTGCTTCTATTGAAAGAAATTTATCGTTAAATTATTTAACTCTTTGACTTTAATCGTTAATATTGTTAGGTCTTTGGTTAGACTAAACCATACCGGTAGTTTATTATCATCTCATTCAACTTTAGTTGACACATTTTTCTTTTGGCTAGAATATAAAAACTCATTCAATATTTGAAGGAAGAACTATTGTGCAATCTTATCTGAGTCAGATTGCACAACAAAAATTGTATGATGAAAGGTAATCATTTGATATTAGAAATTAGAAACTTTCTTTCCATTGTACTATTCTTGTTATGTGATTTAGTATAGTCTGAACGCAAAATAGAAACCATGTTTGAAATACACATTAGTTATTGTTTGAAGTCTCATTTAGAATCATTTTACCTATCAAAAAGGAGAAATGAATCGTCACAATGACCTCGCCAATTACTTAGCATTATCGGTAGTGATATGGTAGTTGATCAACAATGAGTATGACCCGAGCGTCCAAACAATTTTAATTTTTGATTGTTTATGTATTTGAATTTTTTACTCAATTAATTTTATAAGTATTATATACATTGTCTCATCTAGGAGACTAGAACAACATTACTTATATCGATTTGGTCATTAATATTTTCTTTCTATTTTATTTAAATGATATTATGTCATCAAATAGTTGGTAATTATATTTATTTTACCAAAAGTATTACTGATTAATGACTATTCAACTAATCGAATAGATTAATGG